ATCTATCTATCTATCTATCTATCTATCTATCTATCTATCTATCTATCTATCTATCTATCTAGATTAGACATGTGGTTTCATTGGTGTAAGGAGTCCTTGGTGAAGAACTGCTTCTACCAGCGTAGATCAGGAAGGTCTTCACAACTTATAAAGAATTACTTAGATCACTGAGAGGTTAAGTGACTTGTCTAGGGTCACATAGCCAACCTCTATCAGAGAAAGGACTTGAAACTCAGTCTTACTGACTCTGAGGCTATCTTTCTAGCCTCTCGGCTACCACGATTCCTCATCTTCTGCATATCTTCCTTAATTTCTTGGCGACAGCTCGCTAAGACTCCAGGATTATGACAAGGGGAACAGAGCAGGTTAGACCTAAGTAGCTCATAACTCCCTGAGATGTTTGCTGTCATTAAACACAATTGACTTTATAATGCACCGCATCTGGAGCCTGGGCAAAAACTGTAGTGTCCTTTCCTCTTTATGTATCTTAAAATTGTACTTTGAATATGACAGAACAGTTTTTAAAACAAAATGAACAGCACCTAGGTAATCCAGATCACCCTCCCCGGCTCCTACTCCCAGGAGGTCCTGGAGCTCCCACAAGGGGTTCAGGGCCTTAAGAGTCATCTAGACATGGTATAAAGAAGATGAGATGTAGGTTGTAGTCCTGACTTTACCGCTAACTAGTTAGGTGAATTTAGTCAGAGCCATAATAAGATGCCCCAGTATCTGGACCAAATTCGGTTCAGTGAAAGAGGCAGGAGGTGGGGAGCGGTGGCTGTACAGATGGGCCTTGGGAGAGATAGTTTGACCATGAGTGCAGTCATACTGGGAAGAACAGTAGACTCTCCCTTCTCTCTCCTTTCCCAACACTCACTAGCCTTCCTACACTCTCCCGCAATCCACCGTCTTCTCTAAACCTGAAAGAGGCATGGGTGAAAAGAAGAATTTAAGGTACGGTGGTGAAATGCTACCTTTCCATATGGGTGCCCAAGATAGAGCCTAGCCACCTTAAATCTTGTTATGACTCCGAATTTAGGCAGCATTTTGTCCCTTTGCTTGCAGAAGGCTTCACTGGGATGAGATTTGTGCTAGACCCTCCCTGTCTATCTGCTAGCCTGTGATGGAGCCAAGGAAACCATCTGATCTCAGGTCTGGCCAACACCTGTTACTGCCTCCTTTGCTGTAGCCAAAGGAGGAAACCAGTTCTTGACCCCAATCTGTCAGGAGAATCTCAGCAGGAAAATCCATATCTGACTTTCTTATCCCAGCTTGCCAAGAGAGCTCATCTGAAGAACAGGGATGCTCCGGACGTGGGCCTGGGGCTGTGCTCCCATGATTCACACTGGCCTACGTGGGACCTAAGCTTTTCAGTGGGTGCTTGGTCTTTTCAGACATCCTATGCTCTTCCATGGTATCACCCACATTAAGCATGCCCCTGAAATGTGTGCATTTTATGTCATCTACATATGTGCCCAAAAGCCTCACTCTGTGCTTCCTTGAAAGAGAGATTACATCAGAACAAAATAACACCACCACCATCTGATATTTATACTGTGGTTTAGAGTCCCAAAGCCCATTCTAAGTAGGACAAGACAATAGCTTCCCTCTGTAACCCCAAAACAATATATGAAGATTGCCAATCTCAGAGCAAGGATTTGTTAAAAGCAGTTCTTAATCTGGGGTTAAGATAGATTTTAAGGGGTTGGCCCGTGAACTTAGATGGGAGAAAAAAGATAACATTTTAATTTCAATATAATTACTTTCCTTTGCCATCCTATGTATTTTATTTTATGCAATTATAGACATTCTGAGAAGGGGTCCTTAGTACTGTGGAAAAATAGGTGACTTTGGAGTCTAAGTCTCTCTGGACCTTACATTCCTCATCTGGGGTTGGGGGGCAGTCAATAAATAATAATAATAATGACCATATATAAAATGTGTTTGAATGTTTGCAAAGTGCTTTATAGATATTATCTCATTTTATCCTTATAATAACTCTGGAAGATAGATGTTATTACTCTCCCCATTTTACAGATGAAGAAACTAAGGCAAACAGAGGTTAAGTGACTTGTCTAGGTCACATAACTAGAGAGTATCTGAGACCACATTTACTTCCTGACTCCAGGTCCCGAACTCTATTCACTGCACCACCTATCTGACTCCTAAGATCCCTTTCAGATCTAAATCTTTGATCTTATGAATGGTTAAACCATTTCCCCATAGATTACACTTGCATTTTCCTCCTGGTAATGTCCACCTGTTGTTACTTGTTCTGCCCTCTGGGGCTAAGCAGAAGTTTAATTCTTCACTACATGACAGTATTTCCTATACCTGAAGACAGCTCCCATGTACCTTTAAATTTTCTCTTAAATTCAATAAATGTATTTAATGTATAGATGGCTGTGCAGATGAAATAAACCATGATTATTGCCTTCAGAGAGCTTACACACTATAAGAAAACATGGCATCTCTTAAAGGTTAAAATTGCAAACCTAAAGCTTGGGAAGATATAAAGACAGTATAAAATGCTATTCATGCACCAGCAATCCTGTTGGCAAAGACATAACCTTTTTTTTTTTTTTTTTTGCTTTCAGTTCAGTTCAATTCAAAGGGCAGCATTCAGGCCAAAGGGTAGAAGTTACAGGAAGCCAGACAAGTTTTGGCCCAATACACAGAACAAGTTCCTAACAATTAGACCTGACTCAAAGTGGTATGAGCTACCTAAGCAATTAATAAGATATTTGCCAATGAATTAATCAACAGGCATTTATTAAGTACCTACTATTTGCCAGGCACTGCAGATATAAATACAAAAAGTGAAACAGTCCTGAGAATATATATGGCCCTTTGTGAGAGCTGTTGTAGAGAAGTTCTAGACCAGGTAGCAGGAATGGATTGGACTCAGTTACTCTGAAGGAACCTTCTACTCTGAGATTCTATAATTTGACAAATATATATGATGGGTTTCTTAGAAAACACAAGAAATACACAGTGCCTGGCATACAATAGGTACTTACAAATACTTGTTGAATTGAAATGAAAACAATGTCATTTTTTTATCCCAATTAAAATCTTATTTGGATGCATCATTGTGATGTTGAGGTGACCTTGTATTCTGGAAGGTTATGCCAATAGAGCATAAACCTTGACAGGTTCTACAATGCTGGAGAGACCTGAACAAGCCTGGTAGGAGACTCATCTGCCATCTGAGGACCAACCTAGCTAAATTCAATGAGGCTCATTACCACGAGGGTAACTACCAGGTAATGGATTTTTATTTATTTAGTTATTTATTTTTGGCCATGGTAACTCACAAATTTGTCTAGAATGGTATG